CTGCAAGCCCGAGGGCCTCCCGGGGGCACACCGCGGCCGCACCTGCCTCCCCCCCCGTGCCGCTTCCAAAACCAGGCTGAGGCTCCGGAGGATGCCTCGAGGGCGGCTGGAGGCAGCCCGAACTTAGTCGGCACCTCGCAGGTCCGGGAGGGGAGCGCTTGTTTGTTTCACGTTGGTCTGTCCGTGTCCTGAGCGGCTCCGGTCCGACCCTCTCCTCGCGCCTACAGGTAGCGCTGGTGGACTGGAACCCTGAAGCAGGTGTCAAGTGTAAGGTGGCCCTGGATGAGCAGTTTGAACCTCAGAAGACAATATTCATCCAGTGCGACGTTGCTGACCAGCAGCAGCTGAGAGGTAGGAAGGGGGATCGATCCGTCCCTCAGCGCGGAACGTGCCCTGAGCGCGCCGGGCGGGAGAGCCAGCCAGGTGCGGCCAGGCCGCCTCCCGCAGCAGCCCCCAAAGATCGTTTAGACTGTTATGTTTCCTTCTGACAGCCCAATGGCCACACAAGCTAAGGCAGGCAGGTCTGCTTGAGAAGTCCTTTTATCTCAGTCCTTTGTCGGCACTTAATGTAATCTGAACGCCTTTGCGTATGTGTGCTGAGACTGGGCTTCTACAGCCACGATGAGATGATTCAAACCGCAGCTGGAGCTTGAAAAGCTTCAAGGAAGCCGAGGGACTGTGGTAAACAGCTTCTCCCAGGAAGCTGGGTCCTATGATGGTCAAAGGTGGCAGCGTCTTTTCATTTAAACGTGTCAGAGGATAAGGGCACGGATCAGGATCACAGGAGTGCTGGATGCTTCTGACCAGATGTTTTCTCTTATGAGATGGCAATTTAAAATAATAATAATGATAACCATACCGTGTTAGAATTGCAGAAAAAAGTCTCCATCTGCCTTTCGTCAATGCTTCTCTGTTTCTGCCTACTCACTTAAAATAGCCCTATCTGCTGGTGAGATATCTGGGATAATATTGGCAAAGACAATAGACAGCTTTGATGATACAGAGGGCCAATGGATTTACATGAAAAAATAGATATTTCTGGAGGAAAAAAAAAGAAAAAATATGCCTAACAATTTACTCAATCACGTTTTTAATAGATGGGTCAGAAAACTTTTATAAAGTTCACTGCAGTGCTCCTGCTCTTGAAGGAACATGAGGTGTAAGTTCACTTTTAAATGTTAAACTATTGCTTATTATTTATTTATTTTTATTTTTAAAATGAAATGTTTTTCTAAATCTTTAAATAATTTTAAAATATTCTGTAAGAGAAATAATAGTGTGTTGTGTTATAAGGCAGGTACCTACATACAGTTAAGGGAAATTGTTTTAAAGGAAATTACATAATTATGACCTGAAAATGCCTAAAAACCAATAATGTGGATTACAAGCATGAGCAGAACACATCTGTAGACACAGAGGGAGTGGAACATACAAAGGGGGAGAGACCCAAAAAACCTGGAATGTATTTTTTTAAATTGTGTAATTATCCTTACATGTTTAAACTTCAGTCACCTTCAAAGTACTCTCCATTTGATCCAACACACCTATTGAGATGCCTTTTACACCGCTCAAAACAATTTTTTAATGCATCGATTTTGATGCCTTTGAGTGCTTCTGCGGTTTTTTGTTTCACCTCTTCCACATTGGCAAAATGTTTCCCTTTGGGAACTTTTTTCTTCCAGGGAAACACAAAAAGTCGCTAGTCAAAAACTACTTAGTGGTAGTCAAAAGCTACTAAGCACTCAGTGCAGTATGGATGGGTTGTTTATGTATACCACCCATCATGAAATGAGCAATAACATTGAAAGAATCTCCAAAAAAAATTCACTGAAGTGGAATGAAGTCTCTTTCAACAATGCTTGCTGGTACATTGATGTCGATGGATTCCTAGAACACTTACCTAGCCTGTACAAGGGGTCCACCCTCTAAAATATAATTCTGAGTTTTGGGGGGCGCCCCCTCGTATTTTGCCAGAGGATAATGTTGCTGATTGCACGAGATATTTTGGGTCAAGGGTAGAATCAAGTTAAATTCCACCATCCATGCTGCTGGAATACAGGAATGGTATAGATCATCTGAAAGCCATTTCTGTCTCAGTGTATATAGTTTCACATATGACATTTGACCTCATTTGCTTTGCTTCCTGGTATTTAAAATGAGTACCTTGTCTGTAAACACATTCCTTAAGGATAAGTGATAGTGGAGGAGGAAGCTCACACACATCATAAGTGACGGGGCGAAGGCATGTTGACCATGAGAAATCCACATGTTATCTGGACATCAGCAGTTACTTGCATCTAAGGAAAACATGGCACTAATTCTTCCAATTTCAGGATTTACTGTTGCCTACAACTATTTAAACTGTTTAAGCACAATGAAATCACGAAAGTACTGAGGTAAAAAGGTTCTTACAGATGATCTAGACATAACTCACTTTACACAAGAACAAGCTGCAGCCCAGAGAGTTTAGATAAGTTATAAAGAGAACCACAACACGTGAAAGTCAGTGAGAGCTAGACTTTAAGTCACTTGAGCCCAGAACTCAGGGGGCTGTCAGAAGGAAGATGATTTGCTATGCTTTGGTAAGGGTGGAGTGTAAGGAATGCAGTGGAGACCAGAACAAGGGAAGAAAATTACAGAAGCAATTAGCTATACCTTTTTAACAACCTAATTTCCCATAAGGTAGGGGATGTTTCCGTGAGCTTTAAGGAACATATTTCAAATGGAAGGGGGGGAAAAAAAGAAAAGTTAGTTCTCTGGTTCCTTTTCTGGAACCAATTTGAGATCTTTGGAAACAGTTTTTAAGTGCCATGAAAAAAGTAAACAGTTTTTTATTTTGTTTTGTTGTTGTTGTTTTGCATTCCAGTACAGCAAGTGTAGAGGGTGCATATTAGAAAGTCTTGATAATGTTTCTAGTGATTAACTTGCATAGTACTTTATCCTTATGGGAATTGATTAATCCATATCTTCCCCAATATGGCTGGCAGGTGTTTATAATTCCATAAGTTTGTTTCAATCAAAATAAAGTTTATGTTGACCTATGCTTTTCAAGGACTTCGTACGTTGACATGGATATCTGAGAATACATGTATGTTATATGGAAGAACAACCACATTGTTGTCTATTATCTAAAGTAATAGAATTAGAACAAATGGTGAACATCCCAGGGAAATAGTTTACATTAATAGAACCATGTAAAAGGCTGCTTTGAGAAACAATGAGTTTCTCAATCCTAAGGTGGTCAAGACTAGTTTGGACTGGTAAGGAGGGTTTGCAAGGACCAAATATGGAATTGGCCAGTGTAATAAAAGACATCCAGGCCTCAGAATCCATGCAAACTTTGTTCTAGTCAAACATGGTTTTACACAGACTAGTAATAATAGTGAGGGGGGAGAGAAATAGTAAACATCAAAGTTCTAATAATGAAATAAAATCAACTGAATGAAAAGTAGATTTTTACTTATGAGGATATAAAAACTCCCTGAAATGCTCATAATGGATCTGAATACACAAGAAGAGTTGTATTATTTTAGTATCTTATGAACAGAATATGGCTTATCCAAAGGATGGCCGTCATAGTCTAATTTCATGGAAGACAATCTGTCCACGGATGATGGAGGTGGGATGGTTTGGGGATGACTCAAGCACAATACATTTATTGCGCACTTTATTTTTATTATTATTACCCTGCAATATATAATGAAATATATATAGCATCATCAGGCATTAGATTCTCTTAATGAGCTCGCAACCTAGATCCCTCGCATGCGTAGTTCACAATAGGGGGGTTCCCGCTCCTAGCTCCTAGGAGAACTAATGAACTAATGCTGCCCGCTGATCTTACAGAAGGCGGGCTGCTGGCGGTAAAGCAAGTTTGGGGACTGGCTGGAAATACAGATGAAGCTTCTGTCGTTCACCCGCTGCTCATTTTCTGTTATGCGGCCTGGTTCCTAACAGGCCATGTACCAGTTCCAGTCCATCGCTGGGAAATGGGGAATCCTTGGCCTAAGTTATAGAGCTCCAGTAACTTTCTAGGGCCAGGAAATGCTGGCTGCCCAAACTGACTTCAAAGGGCACTTAACTTAGGACGCTCAGCTCTCTAAAATGTACCCCATGAGGTAACTGCTTATAGAATTTTCATGTGCATACAAATCATCTAAGGATACATTAAAGTTGGGATTCCAATCCAGTAGATCCACCAGTTTCTGTAAAATCCTGCACGTCTAACAAGCTCCCAAGTAAGGCTGATTGATGCTGCTGGTTCACAAATCATTGAGAAGCAAGGAGTAAAGTCACAGCCCAGGAGTGTAATTTTCACTGCAAGGGTCGATGAATTAAAATTCACCTCATGCCATAGGACGTGATTTAAATGTATATATGGACAATAAGAATGTATCTATAGTGTCTTGTTTTTGTTTTTTAGATACTTTTAGAAAAGTTGTAGACCACTTTGGAAAATTGGATATTTTGGTCAATAATGCTGGAGTAAATAATGAGAAAAACTGGGAAAAAACCCTGCAAATTAATTTGGTAAGCTATTTTAACCTTGTTTATTGCCGATAATTATTTAATAACATGCTGCCGTTTATAAAGAAAAAAGTTCTTGTATTCATAGAAACAATGACCTACAATATAGAAAAAGGGAAGTTACAGAAAGCTAGAAAAAAACACGTTTTCTTTTCTAAAGACATTTAATCATGAACATAAATCTGTCTTAAAATATTAAAAGGAAATATGAACAAAATATAATTGCTTAGCTCGGGGATTGGTAAACGGTGACCTACAGTCCAATGTCTTGCCACTTGTTTTTGTATGACTGCAGACTACAAATGGTTTTGACATTTTTAAATGGTTGAAAAATTCAAAAGGACTCAAAAAAAGAATAACATGAAATATATGAACGTGTGAAACTCAGTTTTCAGTGTTTGTCACGTTTTCTTGAATTTAGTCACAGTCATTTGTGTAAGCCACAGTCAATGGTTGTTTACATGTCACAATCCAGAGTTGAGTAGTTGTAAGAAAGACTCTATGACACGTATGAGTTAACATGTTTACAATCTGACCCTTTATAGAAAAAGCTTGCTAACCCTTGATTTAACTTTTTTAGATAAAAATAAATCTTAATTAAATGGCAGACATATAACAGAAAACAGTTAAAGTGACAGTTGAACTTTATAGTTAGTAAGATATTTTTATTTAGAAAGTGTGTGTATGTGTGTGTGTGTGTGTGTGTGTGTGTGTAAATTCCACAATGTTTGATGATTATTTAGCTCATACAAAAGGCGGAAATAAGAAATAAAGTTTCTCTTTTATCCATTGTGTCACAATATCTCATTCTATAAACATCCTTG